GCCAAGCAGATGGCATGCCCTCCTTCCCAGTGCAGCTGAGCAGTGCGGCTAAGGTCCTGTTCAGAACAGCCCAGAGTCCTGTTCCAGCTAGAAAGCTCCAGAGGGAAAGAACAGAGTCCAACAGCCAGAACTCAGAGCACCTGCGCAGCCACTGCCGGGGCAGGGGTCATCTTCCCCTCCCTGTTCTGACGTGCCTGCTTCCCAAACCTTCTCCCCAGACACAGGGCTCTCCCAGCAATTCCAGAGGACCGAAGTTCTACTGATCAACCAGACCTGTGGTGAGAAGAGGGAGAGCTTCTGGGGAAAAGTTAATGCAACGGCCACTTGTTACAGTAACAAAAAAACACGCATTTAATGAAATCTAATTAAGCGACATCTAACATTCTGTACTTTATATGTAGCTTAAGGGAGCCTAGCCAAAGAATATTACCCAGTACCTCAAAATTACAATAAAAATTTACTATACTGAAAAATTTGGTAAACTGTATCAGTGTAATTAGTTATGCATATTTCTTTGATAATGAAGCAAGGTGTGCTTTATCATCTATTTTTAAATCCTAACAAAACTTCTTTGTTAAAAAGGCAAATGAAATCAACATTAGGGTCTACAAGTTCCTGACGACCTGCAAATCCAACCCAGCCGGCTGTGTGTCCAAGGGCCACGGCAGCCACAGTGTGAGGCAGAAGCCACAGGAGCTCTGGTGTGGTGACCATATACTGCATCTAACGGCCAGCTAGTCCTCGGAGTGCTGGCAGGGTGAGGAAGAAGGGTCACTAGCACCAGACAAGCGGGTGCAAAAGCATCTGCGTAGGGAGAGTTGCTCTTATCGGCTTCAATATGAGATGTCAAAACATTCTGTCAGCAGGGGCACCAAGGACAGGACCCCTCCTCTGCTTCCTGCCCTCTTCAACCCTGCTGTTCAGGCAGCCCCCCGTGTTACCAGCATGTGAACAGCAGGGAGAGGGGAACTTAGTTCTGTTGCTAACAAGACTTCCAGTCCCCTGTGCCCTTGGTGAGGCAGGGCCGAGTGTCAGTGGTGCGCACCTCCATGGCAAGCATGCTGGACACTGGGAGACTATGCACATCACTCTTCCGCGTGCCTTATACACTCAACATTTCAGCAACTCAAAAAGTCAACACTTTTCTGTTTCAAATAGAGGTGTCCAATTAAAAATATAAACTATTAAACCTAAGCCTCCCTTCACACAAACAATACTGCCTTTATTATTATACCATGACACTTTCAGAAACCATTTTGTTTTTGGAAACATAATCTAACAGCCCCGATTCACAGTAAGCGTGAGTCTAACATGCATGTGCCGCCTCGGGGTCAGCGCTGGAAAACAATGCTCAGCAGCAGCCCAGCCTCACTCCCTCCTTCCCTAAACCTGGTGAAAGGTGTGCCAGCAAGAGCCATTTCAATCTCATCACTTCTCTGAAAAGGGGGTTTGGCCCTTCTGCTTTACCAAGAAAGATGTCAACGAAGTGAGAATTATACCAGCTGTGAACACAAAGTAGAGTTTTATGCTAGAGAAAGGTTAAAGAAAAAAAAACCCTATATCTAATTATTTTAAAGCTATATTTTCATGGAGCTTTATTTCCATGAACAGTGTCACTTAATCTCTAAAGAAATCTTTAAGATGGATATCACCCTTAGCACTTCAGAGGGGAGGAACTGAGGCTCACAGGATTGAAGACATGGGCCCAGGGTCACAGAACTAGCACCAGTGAGTCCAGCACACACAGGCTGTCACAGACCCCTGTAACCACAGCCACACCTGGCATATCGCAGGGCACAACCAGTCCAGAGTTCATCCAAACTGGGCCCCAAATGACACCCAGATGGGTACAGAAGCACAGCAGTAAACACTAAACAAGTTTTAACAAGCCCACTTTTGTCACAAAGAGTGACCATAAATCTGATCTAAGTGGCTCATAATCCACCTTCGACGGTCAAAATAAGAATTAAAAACAGGGGCCGGCTCCGTGGCTGAGTGGTTAAGTTCGCACGCTCCGCTGCAGTGGCCCAGGGTTTGGATCCTGGGCGCAGACATGGCACCGCTCATCAGGCCACGTTGAGGCGGCGTCCCACATCCCACAACTAGAAGGACCTGCAACTAAGATATACAACTATGTACGGGGGGGGTTTGGGGAGATAAAGCAGAAAAAAAAAAGATTGGCAACAATTGTTAGCCCAGGTGCCAATTTAAAAAAAAAAAAAAAGAATTAAAAATAATAATATGAATAACAATGGAAAATTATTAAAGGGCCTACAAAATTACTCTATTTTTAAAATTCTACTTTTGATGTCAGGATAGGTCTGGGAGGGTAAACCTCAGCCAGCCACTCACACGGCTATGGCCTGTGGCCCCTGTTCACACATTCAGGCCACTGACCGAGAGGGAGGGTCTCCCTATTGGGCAGTTGCAATAACACCTCACGTTAATAAGAACTTCTATCTTTATTCAATCCAAACACTGTAGATTTTTTTAAAGACTATTATAGTCTTTATTTTTTTGGTATGCTTTTTGGTGAGGAAGATTGGCCCTGAGCTAACATCTGTTGCCAATATTCCTCTTTTTTCCCCTCCCCAAAGACCCAGTACCTAGTTGTATATTCTAGTTGTAGATCCTTCTAGTTCTTCCATGTGGGACGCCACCACAATGTGGCTTGATGAGTGGTGTGTCAGTCCACACCCAGGATCCGAACCTGCAAACACAGGCCACCAAAGCGGAGCACACAAATTTAACCACTCAGCCTCAGGGCCAGCCCCTATCATCAATATTAACTGAATACTTATGGTTCACAAAAAGTGATAAATGGCATTAGGCACCTTGGGTTATTACTGTGGTACGGTCAAAAAAGCCAATCCTTCATATATGAGGAAACCTTCTAAATATTAACACATCTATTCCTCTCAATCCACCAGACCAAATGGGCCAACCCAAGAATCTATCAGCAAAGAACTGCTGATAACTGGTTTTCTTTTATTCAGAAATCATTAAATATTTACTAAGAATACTTACCCAACTTAAGCAGCTTTTTGCTTTTCCTTGTTATAAATTAAGACCAATATTACAGGTCTAAACACAGGCAGAGCTCAGCATCCTCATGGGGGGTCTAGCTCTCCCTCTGACTCCACCCCATCCTCCTCTCCTGGACTCTGTTTCTCAATGGCTGCCCCACTGCCTAGACAATCACACAGAATCTACGTGCACATCCTGGGAAACCACCATGAGTGCTCTCGAGTGCTACAAACCCCACCATCAACTCCACCTGATCACTCACATCCCCAAGTGGCCGGGCAGGCTACTTCCTAACTGCTAACCATCCTGCAGGTTAACAGAAGACAATCCCAGGCCTACGGTCAGAGACATCTAAGATTTCTTTTCCAGCAAACCTTATCCCTATTTCCAAGGAAATACTTCAGTCAATTGAAAGAGACCATGTGGGTGCATCTCAAAATGGCCTGATTCAGGGATGGCTGAGATAAAGGATGTCTTAGGGGCCGGCCCAGTGGCCCAGCAGTTAAGTGCACATGTTCTGCTTTGGCAGCCCGGGGTTTGCTGGTTCGGATCCCAGGTGGGGACATGGCACCGCTTGGCAAGCCATGCTGTGGTAGGCGTCCCACATATAAAGTAGAGGAGGATGGGCACGGGTGTGAACTCAGGGCCAGTCTTCCTCAGCAAAAAGAGGACTGGCATCAGATGTTAGCTCAGGGCCAATCTTCCCCAAAAAAACGATGGGTTATATTAGCTTAAGAACACTCACCAAGAAAGTAGCATGAGGGGGCCAGCCCCATGGCCGAGTGGTTAAGTTCACGCGCTCCACTTTGGTGGCCCAGGGTTTCACCGGTTCAGCTCCTGGGCGCGGACATGGCACTGCTTGTCAGGCCACGCTGAGGCGGTGTCCCACATGCCACAACTAGAAGGACCGAGAACTAAAAACTATACAACTATGTACTGGGAGGATTTGGGGAGAAAAAGCAGGAAAAAAAAGATTGGCAACAGATGTTAGCTGGTAGTAGTTAACTAACAGTTAGTTGCCAATCTTTACAAAAAAGAAAAAAGAAAGTAGCACAAAAGGTTTCTTTTGTGCCTGCTAGGAACTACAACACAGAATACATAATACACTTTTGGACTATTTCTTTTGAAACACTAGTACCTGGTCAAGGTACGAAAAACTAAAATGAGTCATGAGTTTTCTTTCCAATTGTTATCAATCCATATGTCAGACAAAACAAACCCTCTGCCAATGTGCTACATCTCCCAAGGGAAGACCTCATCCTAGAGCACAGATGCTCAGTTAGACGGGAGACGAGTGTCTCTAAGGAAGCAGCCGCCCCTCCTCTCAAAAACTCTGCCAGGAACTCCCAGAAGGAGTTAAGGAGTTAGGGAAACCTAGCACAAGATCCCATTCCTTACCCACCCACCATACACGCTGGCCTCAAACTTCTAGGAATACCACAAGGAGCAACCAAGGCTCCCCAGCAGGTACTCGCTGCCCAGACACCCGGGACACCAGACCAGAGTCAGGCATCCACTGCTTCCCCACGAGGAGCAGTGACAATTCTCAGACTAGAAAAGCTCTTCCTCGTGCAGAGTGTTAATGCAATACGCATAGAGCACAAAACAAACACGGCTAGTGAGTACACAGTCCTGGTGGTCTCCAGACTACTTGGGAGGGAGCAAATAAGACAAAGGAAGCTGAGAAGAAACAAACTTCCTTCCCAGGCCAGGCTCCCAACCTGTTTAACTGTTCCGCAGAATTCCTCTCACCAGGACACCAGGGACGCTGTTTATTAACCGCACACAGCTCACCACCACTACTCGGAAACCCTCCACTGAGTGCAATCCAGGACAAAACTCAGAACACTGAGTCAAAACTCTATCAAGCCCAAGAAAACCAACGTGGAGACTTAAGTATTTCTGTGTAGTCCTTTTTACAAACCACTGAGAAGAACACACACTGACGAGAGGCAGCGCAGTCAAATACTCACCGATTCCATAGCTGAAAGTCGGTGCTGATGAGGACTGTCTGGCAAACCCAGCAAAGCCGTGCTCAGAGCACTGCTGCCCGTGTCCTGAAACCAGAGAGCAGAGCGAACACATGTCAGTGGCCATTCCTACTTCAGTGCTTCTCATTTCTGTCTCTCTCCATTACGGACCAATATTTATCCCACCACTGCCTTCCTTCATTTCCCTTAACTCCACACAAGCAAAAAGACTTCATGACATTTGTTTGGCTGATCTGGGGTCATAAAAGGAGAGTAAAGGCCAGAGCTGGGCTCACAGCTGACGATTTGTTTGAATCCAAAAGAAATCTCTGTCCTCCATCACCTTTCCTGGGAAGCAGTGCCAGGAAGGCCAGGCTGAGGAGAGAACACTCGGGTAGGCTTGTCCTTCTTGAAGACACGGGGCTTCCAGACTAGGGCCCTCCCTGGAGGAGCCATTCATAGACTTTTCTCTGTACATGGAGTTTGACAGAAATCTCACAATTATTAAACTTTTGTCAAAGTTATGCACTTTGCATCCTCTCCAGACTTCCTGTCACACTCAGAATAAAATCTAAACTCTCCCTTTGGCTCACAAAGTCCCAATGGCCCACCTCTCTCGGCCTCCCACACTCACCTGTGCCCACCTACACCTCCACCTCCCCGCTGTGCGGCCTCCACCCGGAGAGCCCCACCTTAGCACCACCCACCCTCTCTCTTCCATTTTCAGTCTGTGCACCAGTCTCTCTCACAGGACATTCCTGGCCACCCTATATCTAGCCCGTCCTACTCACTCTCTCCCTCAATGTACTTAGGGATCCATTCTCAAAGACAAAGGATCATAACTCAGACCAAATATGGTTCCAGTGACTCCAGTTCAGCATCTTACCACATGAGTTTGAGTTCCTCACAACACAACTTAGGAGAAACAGGAAGACGAAGGCAAGCCCACCATGGCCTGCACACTTTGTAAATATGATGAAGAAATAGTGTCTGGGGGTGGCTGCATACAGAGGGGCCTCTTAGATAAGGCAAGCACACAGAGCCGGCGCTCACCGAACAGAGCAGTCCATTCAACAGGCTGCCTCCTTCCAACTCACTCCTGACAGAAGCCGGGCCACTCTGTGCAGCTGCCACCCACGGGTAAACAATCTCTTCACCCATTATTAAGCTACAACTATACATATCAATATAAGTGAATCTCAAAAAGCATAATAACGAATGAAAACAAAAGATCTCAGAAGAAGATACTGAATATATCTGTGTCTTTCAAAAGCACAGGAAACAATAAATTTTATTTACTACGTGTACAGTAAAACATCAATGAAAAGCAAACCACCATAAAATACAAAATTCAAACTAATGGTTCCTCCTGGTGGTGGGGGTAGGTGGATACTACTCAGGAAGAGCACCCAGAAGTTTCCGCGAGGGATATGGGTAAAGCAGGCTTAGCTGGAGCACAGGCATGGGAAGCCGGCTGCCATGTTTACACCATAACAACTGCACACCTCACACGCTGTCCTAGCTAGAGACTTCCAGAACCCCCACAGTGCCAGAGGCTGCGCACCCTGCACTCCTCTGCTGCCCCGGCAGGTTGTGGAGAGGAGAAAGTAGCACAGGCCACGCCCTGTGAAAGCCGGGCTAATCCCTGGTCCCTGAACTGTGCAACTGGCCACTCCTCCATTTTGTGATTAATGGAAATAATTTATTTTTGTCATTCACAACCAGGAATTTAAAAGTACAGAGACAACTAAGAACTTACTTCATTCACCAAATATTTTTACATCAAAATGTAGCAATTTCAACAATATGAGGGTAAACTCAAAGTCTACTATCAAAAAAAGAGCAAATGACACAATAAACAATCTTGCAAAATCACCGTAAAAAACTGATTTTATTTAGAAGCCTCTCAAACCTCCTATACACAATAAATCAAATAAATCAAGTAGCTACCGTAGCCTTGCCATACAAACACAATAAGAGTGCCAGTAAGAAAGTGAGAAATTATACCGCAGAACCATGAAGAAAATCAATGTAATAAAACTGTATAATCTCCCAGGAGAGCTGTGAGGTCTTCAAGAATAAAACAAACCAGTACTAATGAAAAAGAAAACAGCGCTCCCACCCTTTTCTCCATGCCCCGAGGTGAGCGGGGCGGGGGGGGCGGTCAGGGCAGGTTCTCAGGACTCGTAGGCACAGGAGTCCCAAGCTCTGTGCTCACAGTGGTTTCCTGGCCTGTGCTGACACATGTGTGTGTCCTGCAAAGATGGAGCAAGACTTTTCTCTCCTTATAATCTTGTACAGCCCCTTTCAAAGCCAACATTAACATCCGGGACTACCAAACACAAACGTGGAAAAGCAGCTTCCAATCACTACAACTTGGTTTTACTGAAAAGTAACAAGTAGGTCATTAAGCTTTCCCATGTTCCTATAAAAACAGTAATGGAACAATACAGAATTGTATTGTGTAATGAATGTCTGTAATAGGAAGACAGCAAATCATAACATCGACTAGCACAGATGTGAAGAAAATGTGAGGCCCTTCCAATCCAAGGTTTCTTCAACTCAGCACTGCTGACACTGGGGCCAGATCACTCTCTGTTCTCCCGAGCATTGAAGGGTGTGGAGTAGCAGCCCTGGCCTCCACCCACAGGACGCCAGTAGCACCCCCTGAGGTGTGACGACCACAATGTCTCCAGACACTGCCATAGTCACCTGAAGGGCAAAAGCATCTGGTAGAGAATTAGGCTCTAATTCAACTGCTACTTTATAAATAAGGAAACTGGGCCCAAATTTGGTAAAATGAGGTGGGAAAAAAATTTTTTTTTTAGTTGTCTGAGGTCAAGCAGGGAATGAAAACCAAGTTGGAAACAGAACCCAGGTCTTCTAAATCCTGGTCTGAAGGACTTTTCATTCTAAGGGAAAATACTTTAGTAACTGACTCAATTATTTCTGGAAGACAATACAAATTAAAAGCCTCTAAAATATTTATACCATATAACAGAGTAATCCAATTTCTGGGGAATACACATAGAAGAAATATTCTAAGATATGAAAAAAGCTTCACACAGCATACACGTTCACATCAGAACTATCACTATCCCAACTAGAATCAAGCTACAGTTTCAAACAGAAATGCACCAGACTATACTTTTTACTGTCAGCTTCTAGCTCAGGAGTTTCAAAGAGCATGTTCCCAGCCCAGAAATAAAGAGCTCAGGGCACAGAGTGCAGGCACAGACCATGGAGACATGAAAAAGTCAGTGTCTCATACAGCTGGCAGGCGACAAGTCAGAGGGGCAGGAATTCGATAGACAGACAACTGCCCACCCATGTCTGGGGGTGGGCGAGGCCACAATGGATGCACTGCCTCACCAAGAATCCATCAGAACCAAGAGGGAGAAGTTCCCACCAATGGGGCTAGCAATATGGACAAGTGCTGAGAAGTCTGACACATACAATCTGTGTAAGAAAAATGGCACCAAGGACTGGCCCAGTAGCATAGTGGTTAAGTTCATGCGCTCCGCTTCGGCAGCCCAGGGTTCACAGGTTCAGATCCCCGGTACGGACCTACACACCACTCATCAAGCCATGCTGTGGCAGTGTCCCACATGCAAAATAGAGGAGGACTGGCACAGATGTTAGCTCAGTGACAATCTTCCTCAAGCAAAAAGAGGAAGATTAGCAACAGACGTTGGCTCACAGCCAATCCTCCTCACCCCCCCAAAAAAAGAAAGAAAATGACGCAAATTTTTGAGAAAAATTAGGAGTCATCTTTAACACTAGTGGTGGTTATTTCTGAATGGTGGGGCAATGCAAGATTTTAAATTTATCTTTCTACTCTTTCATATCCCACCAATTCCTTTAATGAGCTGGGGGCCACTTTAGGGGCAGAGAAAAAACTTCATAAAAAAATTACCAAGAAATTTCATGATATTCATAATAAGCCATCTCATTTCTGCATGAAAATTTACACTGGAAAGCTGGCCTTCCTTTCTCTGCTACACAACGAGAGACAGTGTTGTTTTCACTCAGGTTCTCCGTGAAGAGCCACCAACGGCATGCACACTGACCTCAGCAAGACTCATAATCATGTAAGGACCCTAGATAGACTCTATTATTTTGGGGGGGGGGGGGGGGCTGTCCTAAATTACTAATGTTTTCACCACAGAGAGCCATCCTTTTCTCCTCTAAAGGAACTCCAAGTTTTGGAAGATTTCACTTATAGAACTATATTTAGTTAACCTCCATTTTTATTAATCAAAGACCTATAACTGCTAATCATACTTTCTGATCAGCAGTAGAGGAGCAATTTTTTTTTTTTTTTGAGGAAGATTAGCCCTAAGCTAACATCTGCTACCAATCCTCCTCTTTTTGCTGAGGAAGCCTGGCCCTGAGCTAACATCTGTGCCCACCTTCCTCTACTTTATACGTGGGATGCCTGCCACAGCATGGCTTGATAAGCGGTGCCATGTCCGCACCCAGGATCCGAACGGGCAAACCCCAGGCCACTGAAGCAGAACGTGCGAAGTTAACCGCTGTGCCACCGGGCCGGCCCCAGGAGCAATTTTTTTAAACCTATTTTGATGTACTTCCAATCAACACCAAAGAAACCATGGTATCTTTAGTTGGCCCACACACCAGTCTTTCAGATTAATAATTTTCCCTCTGGATTTAAAGTACTGAACACGGCTCAGGCCTCCTGATCTCCGTCCCTTCACCACCTTTCCAAATGCCCTAATTAGCCCAGGAATCCAAATTAGCAGCAGCCTGGTCTTCCTACAGAGGCCTCAGCCCACAGGTCTTAAAGCATTGTTAGCCACAGAACCGCTTTCTCAATCCCCCTCTTCTACAGCTCTCATCAGCAGAGGTTCACCACGCAAGGGGCTCATGCTCCTTGTATGAGCCTGACTGACTCCAGTGCCCCAGAAGCGGCACCCTGGATGACTACACTCCACGTACCCTCAGTGACAGAACCAGCACAAACGGCACCAGGGTTCTGTGTGGTGGCCACATCCCAAGAGCTGCAGGACTGTGTCCATTTCTGTCTTCTCCTCCCTCCTCCCCATGGAAAAGCGGCAGCGTATTCC